TGATTCTAAATATCTTTTTTCCATAAATTTATTTTTTAGGATATTAGCTTGTTCATTAAAATCTGTTATTTCTGAACAGTTCCTACGAAGACGTAGGAACTGGCTCTTTGGAGCACTCTCAAGCCAAGGCTTGTAGTGACAACTAGTTTTGTCGATAGCTGTATTTTTTTTTTTTTTTTTTAATTTTTTTTTGTTGTGCAAGCGTTTACATACAGACTTGCGATACCACGACAGTATTGGCAAGTAGTTCAAGCATCAAACATTGTGTAACTTTGACATGGTATATGAAGTGACTGCACACATTTTTTAAAGTAATATACAACGGGTTAACAATACATGCTGGGTGTATCATGCGATAAGGTAAACATGCTATATCTGGGGTAGGCTAGGACCACGCTGAACCAGTGTGTCTATCATGGTGTAAGACATAACAGATTTATACTGCACGTTTGGTATCTAGACAAGATAATATAATAATAAATCTGCATATATGCCTAGCTCACTGATACTGAAGAATCATGTCAGACACACGTGGTGAATTATGTTATGCAATGCACGATTGGTACGTTTTAAGTAAGAATTATTGTTTAACATGCTGGTTAGACAAGAGCTTACGTTTTAAGTAGTAATTATTGTTTTACATATTGGCTAGTCAAAAGCTTAGTTAGGACCACTGGAGCTTAGCAGATCGTTGCCATTTAACATAGGTAGGAAAGGCAATACTGTAGCAGTGTATAGCAAAGAATACTGGGGCTTAGGCAGCAAGACAAAGTTAAAACTGTAGTCCCTTGTAAAGCCCGCGTAACGTTGGGCTGTGGTTGTCTCTGTGCTGGCCTATAGGATGGGTTAACTTCAGACTCGTGGGCTGTGACAGGGAGACACAGTAGTCCTGCTCAATGCACAATGACAGGGATCCACATGCTTTCACAGGTGTCTAGGGTACTCATCTGGGTGGTAGTTGGGCTTCTCCTTCCAGGCTTGATCTGTAGCCGAGTGCAGAGCTAACAAGCTTGTTGTTGCTTAGGAAGGGCGGCTGGTAGAAACATCATGCAGCGTGAGAGCACAGCTCCCCCAGGGGTCGCCGGTTGCGGTCAGAGGGTTTAGTAACTCTTTCAGCCCCACTCTTTCCCCTGCTGTGGTAGATGTTTTGTCCCCGGACTTGCCTTGTTCTAGCTGGGTGGTCTGTGATCGGCTCTGTCATGCTGGCCGGTCGCGCACATGGCTTGCGAGCGGCGGCCATCTTGTGGGGTGCCGCTCGGTAGGTGTTCCACGGCAGAGTGGTTGTTCTGGGCCCAGATTTGTGCCCCAGTGGTTGCCCTTGTAGACCGGGATGACCCCCCCGGTCCAGAGGGGGGGAGGGGAGCCAGACGCCGACTGGAGACCCGGGAGGGCGGCCGTCCCATCCCGGCTCAAGCTCCTTTCTGCTTCGGGCCCTTGTCGGGTCACTGTTGTTGCCAGGCAGGGTCTTGTGAGGTATCCCCGCGTTCCCCATCAGCTGGGGGTCAATTTGGTCGCCAGTATGGACTGCTGGTTAGGTTTGGCCTCCGGTTTTCGCCGATTTTTCGGCCCTGACGCGGGAGCTCAGACAAAGCACGTCTGATCCCGTCGGCGGTCCGGCCCCGCCCCCGTCGATAGCTGTATTAACACACACCTTTTTAAAAAAAGTTTTTGTGTGGAGTTGGCCTTCTTTAATAAAAATATTAAGGTCCAAAAAATTAATAGATTCTTTGCTATATTCATGTGTTAAAATAATGCCCCTATCATTAGTATTAAGATAATTTATAAAAACAATTAGGTCTTCTTCTGGTCCTTCCCAAATAAAAAAAAGATCATCTATGTATCTAAAATATGAGACCAGGTTTGCCCGCCAAGCATGGTTGCCCCAGATAGCTTCGGATTCCCAGTCTGCCATGAACAGATTAGCGTATCTTGGGGCAAACCTAGTACCCATAGCGGTGCCCCTCTTTTGAAGATAAAATGAATCTAAAAACCAGAAGTAATTATTTTTTTAAATTATATTAATACCTTCTATTATAAAATCGATCTGGATGGAAGGAATATTGTCTTCTAGAGTAAGGGTCCTTTTTATGGCCTGACATCCAATATCATGCGGGATGATTGTGTAAAGTGCTGAACGTCACAGGTAACTAATATAAAATTGGGTTTCCAGCTAAATTTATTTAAAAAATTTAAAAGTGACATTGAGTCTTTCAAGTAAGATTTCATTAATTTTACTGAAGGCTGGAGAAGGGTATCGATGTATTGAGAAAGGTTACATAAAAGAGACCCTATTCCTGAGACAATAGGTCTTCCTGGGGGTTGCTTTTCATCTTTATGGATTTTGGGAAGGAAATAAATAACAGGAGTAATAGGAAATTCTTTGTTTAAAAAATTAAATTCTTGTTTGTTTAAAATGTTTAGATTAAACCCTTTATTTAAAATAGTAGATAGTGTAATTTGGATATTATTTGTAGGATCAGATGGGAGTTTTTCGTATACATTTTTATCATCTAGTTGTCTTAAAGCTTCTTTAATATACATTTCACTAGATTGAATAACTACTCCTCCACCTTTGTCGGCTGATTTTATAACGATATCTTTATATATATGCTTATTTATTATAAAAATGCAAAAAAATTGAAAAATTGTGTTTTTTTTACAGTTTTTGCAATAATAATGTGTGCATGATAAGTGCAGGTTAAGGAAAGTAATTAAAATTTAATTTAGTTGTTCTGATTTACAGAATATATAATGTGTCTGGGATTTTAAGTTTTTTTGGGTAGTTACAGGTCACAAA